TTAATGTAGGACATATGATATAGGAAGCTTAAATAAATAATAAGTCATTCCTATTTTGTGATAACTTGATACCATATTATCATAATTATTTATGGATTGTTTAATGTATTTCCTTAATCGTTACATTAATTGTTGGATTGTATGGTTTAATGCACCGGTATGGGACGGTGGCATTCTAGGGACGGATTAACTTATCAGTTAAGTCCTACCTATTTTATATAAGGGAATGGATTAATTAAAATTTTAAGTCCTACTTATATTCAAGTCAGGTCAGCTGAACAAGTTGAATGACTTATGGAGGATTAATTTATTATATAAGGGAATGGATTAACTAAAATATTAAGTCCTACTTATATTCAAGTCAGGTTAGCTGAACAAGTTGAATGACTTATGGAGGATTAATTTATACTGAATAGGATGGTTACTAGATTATATATATATAAGTATGGTGCCATGATATGAGCTTGAGTCTCAGGATCAGTGGTTAGGGTACGTATATCGTCAGGGATATGTAGCTAGATATAGTGTAGTTGTGTACCCTGGTAGGTCTAGGTACTCATGCCCACTATATGTGCGTTTTGCATGTTACCTACTATTCAGGTTGAGACAACCCTATAGTCTAGTGAGGTTCCTTTAGTGTGTATATATATATATACGGACTACTAGTTACTGTTGGATTGACTAGGATGTATACGTGTATCGGATTTCTGCTTGGACTGTAGTAGAGTAGAACTTGTTTGTAGGCCTGACCCACCATTATTTTTCAGATGTTCGTCAGGAGTAAAGGTTGTTCGTGCTAAGGGGGATCAGTCTACTTCATTCTTCCGATGCTACATAGGAGTTCCTTTATGGTTCAGTTTCTTGATTTAGACAGTTATTGCTGTCATTTGTTTAGTTTGGATTTTCTAGGGGTCCACACAGTATGGATTCCCGAGTTGTATTTTAGAGGATCAGTTGTATCAGAAGAGTTTATTAATTAATGAAAATATATTCTGAGGTTTATTATTAGATTATCATTTTAGTTTCTTGTCAGCATTTTATTCTTCTTTATTCTTTTGTACTCTGTGTTCGTTTATTATCAATTTGTTTTGATATCCTCGGGTATTCGGGCGTGGGCCTGGCCAACCTGCATTCGGGAATCCGGGAGTATCACAAAACTCGCTCAACAGCTTGTGCTGTCAATTCCACCATTCCAATGGGTTCCACTCGCTTCCCATCAAATCCGAGCAACGGATATCCTGTGGGTTTGAGTTTTCTGGGTTCAATCTCAAGTCGGTCGAACGTCACCCTGGGCATGACATTCGCACTACTGCCTGGATCAATCAGAACTCTTCGCACAAGGCATTCTGTAACCGTCAGACTGACTACTAATGGATCTTCATGAGGAATCTGAACACGTAGCAGGTCCGTTCTATCAAACTTTATCGGTGTGGACGTGTTCTGCTGGTGCAAAACATGCACACTGCCAATCCTCCTTTTCAACTGGGCCTGGCGTAACCGCGTTCTGAGCAATTCTTCTGACTCTATTGTTTGTTCAGGCCGGCCATGAATTGCACTTATAATCCGAACAGGCTGGGAGTTGTGTGGGTTCAGCCTCTGGTTCCGCTTGATCTGCTCAGTCGGGCGGTTCTGCTCTTGCGCCGGACCTTGAACATAGCTTGCAAATTCCCCTACCTGCCTCCTTAGGTTCCTGCATTCATTAGTCTGATGTCCAAAATCACTATGGAAAGCACAATGTTTAGTTTGATCCCTCTGTTCAAGAGGTTGCCTGATTGGCAAAGGAGGACGAAACTTATCTTTGTTCTCTTGGTATAGCCTTGCTAAGGTGACTCTGAGTGGAGTTATTGATTCCTCCTCCCTGGGCCTTTTCTCCGCCTTCCATAAGGTGTGACGTTGCGGCTGAGCTAGTTTTTGCCGGATCTTGGCTTAGGACTTCTCTTCCGTCGAAATAATTGACGTCTTCCTTGAATTAGCTGCATCTTCTTCCTCAAGACGAACAAAATCGTCAGCTCTCTCGTTCAGCTCGTCCACGGTCTTTGGCGTATTAACCACTAAACTGGTGTGGAACGGCGCCCCCCGATTCATTGCGAGTTTAAATGCTTGGACTGCTGTGGACGGATGACACTCCATTACCATACTTTTAACGAGGTTGAACCGGGTGAGAAAAGACTAGAGCCGTTCATCCTCATGCTGCTTCATTGTGAAAAGGCTTGATACATTTTTAGCCAGACGTTTATTCCCGTAGTACTGGCTTATGAACTTATCGCATAAATCCTGGAAACTGGCGATTGAGCCCTGAGCCAAATTCTTGAACCAATTAAGAGCTGGTCCAGCCAAGCTCGTAGGGAAGCATTTGCACATGAAAGGATCATTGTTAGTATTCAGAGCCATTTTCAACTGAATATGGTAAATGTGATCGACCGGATCGGTTGTTCCGTCAAACAGAATGAAAACTGGCATGGAGAACTTTTTTGGATTCGATGTGTTCAGAATTTCATCAGTGAACGGAGATGCGACTGTTCTTGCTGCTGAGCGCAACGCTTCGTTTTCCCTTGAAAACCGTGACGAAAACCCCCGATCAGCAGATCTCCTTTCTGAACTGTGGTAATCAAATGTTGCTAATGAAGGTCGGTAAGGCGGATCGAATGACTTGTCCTCCGCAAACTCACTTCGCCATGGTGACGCAACCCTATGTTCATATGCCGGTGCTTCCTCCCTCATAATTTCATTCGCGATGTGGTTTTAGATGAATAGATCCTTCCCGATCCTTTACTCGACGGACATTCGGAGGCAGATCACAGATTATAACTTCATCATGATGTGGATCAACACGATTGACACCTTCTGGATCATTTTGACGATCAGCTTGGGACGGTAAAGCTCCCTCTCCCTCAGGAGGTGGCCTCGAAATTGCAAGAGCCTCACGACGCTCCATTCCAGCTCGTAGCTCTGCATTTTCTTTCCTCAAAGCGTCGATCATGTTCATCAGCTCATCGAGCTTCGTCTGCTGGCTGTTCTCCAAAGGATTTGAGTTCGCCTTTCTGATCATCATTCCAGATCGGAGCAAAGTCATCAACTGCAGATTTCTCGATCAAATCGGAGTTCCGCTAACGCGCATACACCAGATCTAAACTCACACTTGCTGAATTCAGTCCGTTACTAGCCGGATTCAGTAATCACAACAGATCGTAATTGTGCAGTTCGTCGAATCAGGTACAGATCTGATCTGCTTGGATCGGACGCCAACTTCGCGAAATCAACCAGAGCCTGGACTCATTGAGACAAATCGTATTATTGCCAATGTTGATTCAGCTTTCGTAGATTAATCATTTTCCTCGCAGAGTGCTTTGAATCGAATTGATCTGAAACAACATCAATGAATCCTTCCTGTTATTCCCACAGACGGCGCCAATTGAAAGTACAAAGAATTTTCCCCAATTTCAGAGAGAGAAATTTTTTACTCCCAATCTTTTCTAACCTCTTTTCCCTCTCGATCTCCCTTATTTATAGACGGTAACAACCTCCTCTGGCCTGGGCCTTATCTGCTACCTTTTGCCTGGACTCAACTTCTCTCATTTTAACATGGGCTTCTGCAATAACTTTATGGATCTGGGCCCATCCAGCGTGAACCTGCTCCATCCTGTCTATCCATACCCGACCCGTCCTTTGCAATACGAATCATACCAAGCTCGGGTCATTTTGGTGTCCTCATCCTGCAAAATTCGGTTTACTCTAATAATCAAATTCATCCCACTCCACTTGCTTCAGTGTACGACTAGGAATTGTCATGTTAGCTTTTGCGTCATTTTCGTGTTTGGGTGTTTTTAAGGTTACGTCTGTTGTAACGTTTCACCTAAAATATTTTTATGTTTTTGGTATTTAACAAAGGTGAGGTCGATGTCGAGAACTAGTGTTTATCGGACCATGTAAATAATTTGTCTAAAATTGATGAATAAATTATTTTTATTAACTTTTAGTATATTTTTTTTCATAAATATTTTTGACAACTAAACAAAAAAAAATTAAAAATATATATATACATATATATTTTCTGACATCGAAGCAAACTTAGCCAATAAACTAACAATCTTAATCTCACAGTTTGGTGTATTGGATGAGAAGAAGATTAGAAGTTTTACAGCTAAACTGTAAAGGAGAATAAAATATTTAGTACAAACAAGTTCAATATATATAATTATTCTGGTGAAAAAAACATCTTCTTTAATTTTTGCATTTTGAAGAACATGAGCTATGAGAGATATATGAGTAAAAAAACAACAGTTTCGAAGTTTGTCCAAGATTTGATAGAATGATGAATTTGGTGAATATGTGTAACAAATGGTTGACAAAAACACCAAAAGTGGTCCATTTGAAAGAGATTTTACATAAATAATTGGGAAAATTACATATAAATGGAGTCAAAGTTTCATATTTATTTAGAGGCTGAGTCAAAATTCCATATTTCTCTAAAATGGATTGCTGAGGTGGCACATGATTTTTTACTGTTTAGAAATTGTAATGCCTAAAATACCCTTCCGCGAATGGACTACTTTTTCTTCGAAGGTACTACTTTTTTGAACTGAAGGTACTACTTTTTGGCGTCCAGGTACCATGTTTTTTAAATACCCGCGAAGGTACTACTTTTTCTCCGAAGGTACTACTTTTTTGAACTGAAGGTACTACGTTTTTGTTAGGGAATGACATTTTAGGCACCACAATTTTTTAAACAGTAAAAAACCATGTGCCACCTCAGTAATCTATTTTAGAGAAATATAAAATTTTGACTCAGTCTCTAAATAAATATGAAACTTTGACTCCATCTATACGTAATTTTCCCTAAATAATTCACTACTAGTATTGGAATTAGTGTTAGAAAACAAAATAAGAATTCACAAAACAGTGGACAGCTCCACACACGTACACGAGGGGATCCACTATCTATTAATAGATGTTGGACTGTGTGAAAAGTTTGCTTTTATTTATGTTTAGCCGCCCCTTTTTATCACGTGATGTTTATAATTGTTTCATAGTGTCAACGAATTGAAAAATCGTCCGCAAGAATACACTATATATATATATATATATATATATATATATCTCCAAAGGTCTTGTAGGTTAGGAAATGTACAATTCAACAAGGTCATATATGGCTTCTCTTTCCCCTCCTACCACCGCCTACTCAACCACCACCACCACCACCACCACCACCACCACATCCTCCGCATTGTCATCTTTCCCATTCTTTAGCAAGAAGTCACAAATCTCAATAAAGAAGCGTAGTAACCGACGTCCCTCTAAAGTGTCATGCAAAGCCACAGATGGTGACCAAAACCCTAGTACTAGCTCCGAAAGTGGTGCTGAAACTTCGTCAGGGAAGTTTGATAGGAGGAATGTGCTTGTAGGTTTAGGAGGGCTCTACGGTGCCACGACTCTCGGTGCTCAGGGTCCCCTAGCATACGCTGATCCGGTGTCAGGACCGGACTTATCAAAATGTGGCGCGGCAGACTTGCCTGAAGGTGCAGCGCCCGTAAATTGCTGCCCGCCATATACCTCAAAAATAAAAAAATACAAGCTTCCACCGCGAACTAATGCCATGCGCGTTAGGCCGGCTGCTCATTTGGCGAACAAGGCATACATAGCCAAGTACAATAAGGCTATTGAGCTCATGAAAGCCCTTCCTGCAGATGATCCACGCAGTTTCATGCAACAAGCTGATGTTCACTGTGCTTATTGTGATGGAGCTTACGACCAAGTTGGGTTTCCAGACCTTGAGCTTCAAGTACACGAGTCATGGCTCTTCTTGCCTTTTCATAGATGGTACCTCTACTTCTATGAAAGGATCTTGGGGAAATTGATCAATGACCCCACTTTCGCTTTGCCATTTTGGAATTATGATGCTCCTGGTGGCATGCAATTGCCAGCACTGTATGCTAACTCTAAATCACCAATCTATGATCCTCTCCGTGACGCAAAACACCAGCCACCAACCATGATTGATCTTGATTACAACGGTACCGATGAAACCACAACAGCCGAACAACAATTGTCCACCAATCTCTCCGTCATGTACCGTCAAGTAGTGTCCTCTGCCACCACGGCTAAGCTTTTTATGGGCAACCCATACCGTGCGGGTGATGATCCTGAACCCGGACAAGGCACACTAGAGACCACCCCGCACGGTCCAGTCCATCGATGGACGGGTGACCGTTCGCAGCCCAATGGAGAGAATATGGGGAACTTCTACTCGGCCGCAAGAGACCCTATATTCTTTTGTCATCACTCTAATGTTGACCGATTGTGGATCATATGGAAATCCTTGGGAGGAAAACGCAAGGACTTCACCGATCCAGATTTTCTAAACGCTGAGTTTCTCTTCTACGACGAAAATAAGGAGCTTGTGAGTGTGAAAGTTGAGGATTGTCTGGACCAGAAGAATCTCGGGTATGTTTACCAGGAAGTGGACATTCCATGGCTGAAAAAGCGTTCAACGCCTGGTGCTAAGAACGCTAGCAAAAAGAAGAGCAAGGCTGGCGTGGCGAATGCGGCCGAGACATCCAGCGTTAGTGAAGTTTTTCCGACGAGTCTAAACAGAGTGGTGAGAGTTAAGGTTCCGAGGCCGAAAAAGTCTAGGAGCGCCAAAGAGAAAGAAGAAGAGGAGGAGATATTGGTTGTATATGGGATAGAGTTGTTGAAAGATGTGTATGTGAAGTTTGATGTTTATATTAACGACGAAGATGATGCGACTACGATCAGGCCGGACAGGAGTGAGTTTGCCGGGAGTTTTGTGAATGTGCCGCATAAGAATTCGAAGAAGAAGACGGCAACGACATGCTTGAGGTTGGGGATAAGTGAGTTGCTGGAGGATGTGGGAGCTGAAGATGATGATGAGGTGGTTGTGACTTTGGTGCCCAAGAATGGAAAAGATCTAGTTACCATTGGTGGTATCAAGATTGAGTTTGATTCTTGAATCAATTCGATCATCAACAATATGTCCCTCTTAATATAATATTAACTTTGATAATAATTTTTACTTCTTATTTTGGTTAGTTAAGAGTACTCTAGTACAATTAGAACAAGCGGTACAACTCGCTTCTGTAGTACGGTACTACATGTTTCTATATCTATCAATTTGATCCATCTAAGTTTTTTTAATTTTAATTTTACTATTTTTGTACTAGTACAATGGTAATGAAAAAGAGAGGCTATTTGTATGATTTTATTTTCATTGTATTCATTCCACATATATACCATCTATCTCTAAATGTATCCACTCAATCTCTCTCAAATTCTCAAACATCTCCCATGTTTTCTCATTCAAAAACACAAAGGCATAAAGCCAAGATGACAGTAGAGATGTATAAAGTCAAGTCAGAAAAGACATACAAATCTTGAAACAAAGCAAATAAATAAAGAACAAACTCCAGATTTGTGAAGGAAACAGAGCCCAACACTTTGTAAACAGAACCACTGTGGGAGAACGCAACAAATGAGAGACCGAAAGATCTGATCATCATCACGGTAACCGCTCAAAAGTTACAACCACAAGATATTCCAACACCCAAGAAAGCCCGCATTAAATCAAATCAAGGAAAAAAAAATTAAATCAAGATGGAGAAAATCAAAACTGACCTAGACCATAGATTTAGTCGGAAAAAACAACAGATTTATCTATGTGATCCGAAAACGAACCGAATATGAATAGATTTAGCCCAAAAAAATAAAAAAATAACGTAAACTATATATATATATAGAGAGAGAGCATGTTTATTGAAAAACGTCATGTTTATTGCAGTCGTAGAAGGCGATCGTCGTCTCCCCACTTCCATGTCTGTGTTCACTGTCCAAATTCCAAACCTTTCAAATCAGTACTAGCTCATTCGTATTTCCTATCGTCCTCTTTCTTCAAATAATATCAATTTAAGAATAGTTGATGCACCCTGACATAGACCATTGACTCATTTTCCTTCACAAAAACCATACCCTATGAAGCTTGAGTTTCTACCCGAAAGTCACCATTCTTGACCATACAAGTTGGAAGGAGAAGATAAGTTGGAGAAGAAGATAAGGTAATCTTATCCCCTCTGATTCTCTCTCTCTCTATGTCTCTCATTTCCTTCATATTTTCACATGCATCTCTCTTTCGTTCACATCTCTTGAATAGCCACCGAGTTTAAAATTTAAATGCTAATAAGTGATCATTTATTGATTCATTACATTGACCTAAATGTCCTTTTAATAATAAATCATTCAAACACCTATAGGTTACCCCTTTTGTTTGAAAGGAAAAAAATTCCAATATGATTTTTTTTTGTTGTTAGAAAAATTCCAATATGATGATTTTTAAAATTTTACACATAAATACATCATAAATTATTGACATCTACGGTTTTAAGATAATGGAAGTGCAAAAGAATTTATTTTGTTTCCAAACAAAATGATATAATAGTTTGACATCATTCAGTTTTCTTTCCAAAGCACAATTGTTGTGATAAACCTTTTTAATATCTATTTTATTCAGGAATTTTTAATAAGTGCATGTATAATCTGCAGATGCCCATGTAAGAAGGTTGTGTGTGTGTGTGTCTATATATATATATATATATATGTGTATGTATGCAAGAAATGCATGTACAGTGACCTTGTAAAACAGTAAATTATCGGAAGAAAAGTTATATGGAAGCATTTTATACAGCACATATAAGTACTATTCACTATAAAAGATTAAATGCCATGGCGAATTTAGAAGAGTGCCTTTAACAAAGATATTATTTATAAGATCTACTCACTCTACATGGAGGCTATGGAGCCGCTAGCACTGTCGGTGGTGTCATCAACGTGGCAAGCATAGAAAAATTCTAGGGTTTAAAGAGAGGAGTGAATAAACGAGGTTGCTTTTCTAGATAAAATAATAGTTTGACAAAATTAACTTTCAAAATCACTGTTAACATTTAAGTTTTTTATTTTGGTTATCAAATTTTATTTATTTATTTATTTATTTTTGGGTCACTTTATCATTATTTTATTTAATCCTAGTCACTAACATCTAATTTTTCTTAAATATATTTAGTTCTTCGTGCATATATAATTAGGATATATATATATATATATATATATTCATACACGTATATGATAGTACTCCGTAATTGATATGGATATACATATGAGGACCATATTTTTTCTCATATTTTATTGTCGTTGTTTTGTTTTGTTTTTACTTCTTTTGGAGTAAGAATATCTGAATATAGTGGCTTATTTTTTCTTCCTTCTTTTCTTTTTTTTTTTTTTTTTTTTTTTTGGGAATGATGAAGCGATTTATAGATATAAATTAAAGGTTACATTGGGCCCAAGGAGGGCCCTGAAAAGAAAGGAACGGTAACAATGATTCCAATGAAGAAGCCAGATAGGCCCAATAAGCCTAGGAAAGACAAGACCAGGAGCTGAAGAACCAATTATGAAACGTTAAAAAATAACGGTTGATAACAGCACAAATTGCCGTTATTAATGGATATTTCAACGTATTCCGGTGACAAGGCCATTGACGGCCACACTCGAGGCGAGAGTTGTATTGGGTTAGGGTTTGTTAGTGATGTTAAAGCTAAATTAATCCAATTAATGTTAGTATTTGAATTTCATTCAATGAAAAATTGCAATTTCATTTTGTTCATTGTCTGTTTTTTTTTTTTTAATTCATTGCTTGATGGTTTTTGATGGCTGAAGGATAATTGGAAGACACAGTCTGTGTTGCAAAGAAAAATATCTTCTTTTTTTCTTTTCTTTTAACATTCCTTTCTTCTTGGATGACCCGTATATAGACCCAATAATTCATGTTTAAGTTTTTTTTTAAGTTTTAAATATGTGTCAAGTTCCTATTGGTCCATATCTCATATAAGAAGGAAGCATTGTCCTGTTCTTGGAGTGCACATCTGGGTGCTGGGTGGGTTTTCATTTGGTTATATAGAATAGTAAGTGAACCAAGGAAGCATTAAATTAAATAAAAAGCAAATGATACTTATGGTTTGTTAAGCCAGCTAATAATTGAAATGAAATGGAATTATGTGGCTTTTATATTGTGAGACAAATCTATATTATTAAAATGAAGGAAGATCTCTATTATTAATTTAAGGAATTGGAGATGTTGGTGTACTACTTCTGTACATCCCCAACTATGTTTTGTTATTTTACTCCTTGCCACTGAAAGAATGGTAAGATATATATCTCATCAAGAAATTGATTAGTAAACATAAGAAGCAATATGAAACCTCCTCCACCTCCCCCACCACCACCACCACCACCACCACCACCTCCTCTTCCGAGTCAACAGCATCATAACCACCAGTAGCTGCATCATCCCCCCATAATCGATCATATTCCCATCAAAGCAAAGCATCAGGTTACCCACTCAAGCAATACACACAGGCCTCTATCTATCATAAACCCCATCCCCAACCACCTCAAGCCTCCTTTTACTCCCACTCATATTTTACAAAAACACAACTCAAGAGCATCGACCTCAATTTTACTTACACATGTCTACCCCCCTCCACTTCCCCCTTACCTCAATGGACAATCATTCCCCTCACCGTCCATCAAACCAGTAAGAATACAAAACACTACCAAACTAACCACAAACATCACTAAGAAGCAGCCAACACTACATTAAAGGAAGAAGTACCAGAACAAGAGGCTTTCCCACACCACGCCAGCCAATAAACCATCCTCTACTTCACCAGCTCCTGCTCCCTACTACCCAAAGAATTTCAACCCCCTTTTATATAATTCTCCTGGGCATCAAATCGAGCGCCTCACAGAGCAACTTCAATGGAAGGATGAGAACCTTGGGAAGGCACTAGACATGTTCAAGGAAAAGAATATGATCATCTCAGAGTTAAGGAAGGAGATTGCTCAGCTCAAGTCTCTTCTCCCAATCAGCAGCATTCATGGACAGTCAGCAATTGCAGCCACCACCACCACCACAACAACCACCAGTCCGGCAGCCTAGAAGACTCAAATGTTATTGACCCACCTAAGGAAGTAGTTGAAGAAGGTTTACAGTTCTGGTCCTCCACTCACCTTGTTGGGGTCTCCACTCACAAACGAGTTCCATTTAAGGTTATCCAAGCAGCTGCAATCAAAATATGGAAGAAGTTTAGTCTCACAGCTACCATCTTGGGGGATAACAACACTTATTTTTTCAGATTCAACTCAAGCACAGAAGCTGAAGAGGTTCTTTCATTGGGTTCTTGGTCAATTGCAGGACACCCTTTTTCTCTTATGAAGTGGAATCACCATGCAAAAACTCTCTCAAATCAACCTACTTGTATCCCCACTTGGGTGAAATTCCATAATATCCCTATCCAATTCTGGACTGCCAATGGTCTTAGTCACATAGCCAGTTATGTGGGGGAACCTCTCTATGGTGATCAAGCTACTGAGAATGTAACAATGCTGAAATATGCCAGAATTTGTGTGAATCTTGATCTTAGCAAGCCACTGCAAAAGGAGGTTATTATCAAATTGGAAGATAACAGCTTTGAACAGGTCAGGATTGAATATCAATGGCTGCCAAAGTTCTGCACCAAATATAATCATTTGAACCACACTGAAGCATCTTGCCCTCTCAATTTTATCAACACACCAAAGTTGAATGACAAGGGCAAAGGACATTTAACTGTTCCAGACAACAATGGTCAAGAAAACAACATCCCTACCATTTATCCAACTAGCACTGAATGGGTTACCATAAAGAAGAAGAAGAAGAAAGCTGGTTCAGTTAAACCTACATCTTCATCACTTCCCCACAACCAACAAAATGGCAATCAATTCTCCCCATTATTATATATCAACCATGAGCCCTCTACACCTAACGACCCTGCTAGCATCTCCACATCATCCCCCACTCCTAATTGCAGTCACTCTTCCTCTCATAAAAGGACACCCACACCTATCCACTCTCCACTATGCAGTAGGAAATTAAACTTCTCACTAGCCAGTCCTTCACCCCCAAATCCAAACTCAGCACCAACTACTTTTCCCCAATACAAGAAGCTAGCAAGGAAGCCTAACTTAGGCTACCACTCAACCTCAAACCACCACATTTCCCTCTTATCCTTAACTGATCCAGAAACCAATGAGCTAACCATGGAACACAGAAGAAAAGGGAAGCTCATAGCTAAAAAGCATGGCAGCATCATCCCAGGCTTTAGGATGAAAGTTGCAATAGAAGAAAGGTCTTGCAACAGCAGACCAGTTTTGATGTCTGAAGGTTTTCCAAATAATCACAGGCATCTTGGAGGTTCTTTCAGCCCTCCATTCTAATGTCTAAATTTGTTACATGGAATATAAGAGGGTTAAACCAACCCTCTAAACAGTCAGAGATTAAGAGGCTAATCTCTGAGAAAAAACTGAATCTAGTCTCTATTGTAGAGACCAAAGTGTCTCATACCAATGTAAGTACAATACATAGGACAGTGGCACCAAGTTGGTCCATAGTCCATAATTATGCATACTCACAGTTGGGTCGAATTTGGGTTATGTGGAACCCTAGTCTCATTGATCTCACTGTCATTGCTACCTCTAGACAGTCAATACATTGCAGTATATCCATCATTGGGCTCAACATCAATTTTTTCACTTCTTTCATATATGCTGCAAATGATTTAAGTGAAAGGAAGACCCTTTGGGAGGACATTTCTCACCATGCAAGTCTCTTTTCAAATTCTCCTTGGTTGCTCATGGGGGACTTCAATGTCATACCTAATGCTAGAGAAACTCATGGTGGTTTAAGGAGATGGAACCCAGCTATGACAGACTTCAAGGAATGCTTACAGTAGGCTGAGCTCGAAGACCTCAAATTCAGTGGAATTCTCTAATCCTGGACCAACAAAAGTGAAGGTACAGCCTGCATTGCCAAGAAATTGGATAGAGCTTTGGTTAATCATAGTTGGACCTGTTCTTTCCCTCAGTTAGATTGTATCTTCTTACCTCCTGGCATTTCAGATCACAGCCTAATTTTGGTTAATCTTGACTTCTCTATGCCAAACAGATGTATTCCTTTTAGATTTTTCAATGCTTGGAGTGCTCACCATCAGTTTCTGCCAACTGTTCATAAAGTTTGGTGCACTTATATCAGGGGTACTGTAATGTTTCAAGTGGTTCAGAAGCTCAAGCTTCTAAAGAAGGCTCTTAAGGTTAATTGCAAAAAGGAGTTCTCTGATATTGACTCCAAATTGCAAGTTGTTAGATTGGAATTGGACTCTATCCAAATGGATCTTGATCAATCCTTCTCTGACAGCAACCTTCGAGAATTAGAGAAAAGAATCACCAATGAATATCTTAGGCTGGGCAGCATACAAGAGGATATGATCAAGCAAAAATCAAGAATGACCTGGTTGAGATTGGGTGACTGCAACTCATTTTTCTTTCATAAATCTTTCTCATCTAGAAATAACAAAAGGAAGATAACATCCCTCACTACAAATAATGGTGATTTAATTGAAGATATGGATCTGATCAAACATGAAGTGGTCTCTCATTTCCAAACATTGCTTGGGAGCTCACCACCTGCAACTCACTCTCTTGCTGATCTCCAACCTTTCTTCACCAAACAGGTCCCCTCCAATCTCCACAACTACCTTGATGAAATTCCCTCAAATACTGACATCCAAAGATGCATTTTCAGCCTCAACAAAGACAAGGCTCCAGGTCTAGATAGATTTAATGCCTTCTTCTTCCAGAAAGCATGGAGTGTGGTGGGTAGATCAGTCACTAATGCCATTTCTGAGTTTTTTAGAAATGGGAAGCTACTCTCAAAAGCTAATAGCACCTATATTTCACTTGTTCCAAAGTGCCAGAATCCATCATCTATACATGATTACAGGCCAATATCTTGCTGCAATACAGTTTATAAGGGCATTGCTAAGATCCTAACATCTAAGCTGTAAACCTCCCTCCCTCACATCATTGACCCTTCTCAAGGTGCATTCATTCAAGGAAGAAAAATCACTTACCCCATTCTATTAGGTCATGAGCTTCTTAGGGGGTACCACAAGGACTCTTCTGCAGCAAAGTGTGCAATCAAGATAGACTTGAGGAAGGCTTTTGATTCTGTGAAATAGGGATACATCACCTCATGTCTCACACTCCTCAACTACCCTACAAAATTCATCTTATTGATTCAGGCTTGTATCTCATCACCATCTTTCACAATATCACTGAATGGGGAGTTTCAGGGTTACTTCAAGGGCAAGAGAGGCCTGAGACAAGGTGACCCCATATCTCCATTTCTTTTTGTTATTGCAATGAACACTCTATCTTTAATCATCAACACATATGTTGGAAGAGCAAAAGCTTTCAAATACCATTGGAGGTGTGGAGAATTGAAGATTACACACCTTTTATATGCTGATGATTTATTGCTCTTATGTCATGGAGATATCACCTTAGTCTCTGTCCTAAAATGTGCTTTGGATCACTTCTGCTCAATGCCTGGGCTTAAGGTGAATTTATCCAAAAGCAATGTCTTCCTCTCTGGAATTGATCAACACACAGAATACAGCATCAGCAACCTCCTTGGCATTAGTGTTGGTGCATTACCTGTTAAGTATCTTGGAGTTCCCTTAATCTCTACAAAACTTAAGGCCTCACACTGCAGCATCCTGATTGAGAAGATCACAAACAGAATTATTCACTGGTCCTCTAGATCATTGTCATATGCAGGAAGGCTCCAATTGATTAAAGCTGTCCTTATTTCTACCCAAATTTATTGGGCCAGCATATTCATCTTTCCAAAGGCTGTCCTCAATGAGCTGAACAAAATCATAAGATCATTTCTTTGGTTTGGACCAGAGATGAAGACCACAAAAGCTAAGGTGAATTGGGGTAGAGTGTGCAAGCCAAAGGAAATGGGTGGTTTGGATATTCCTAATCTAGAGATCTCAAATAAGGCTGGGATCCTAAGATCAATTTGGGACCTTCACAATAATGATAGCAACAGAATTTGGATTAGGTGGTGTAAAGCTTATCTCATTAAGTCAAAGAGTTTTTGGACTCTAAAGATTCCTCAGCCATGCTCATGGAGCTGGAGGAAGATCCTTCAACTGAGAATTCTTGCAAGGCAAATTATGAAGCATAAGATTGGCAATGGTAGAGGCACATTTTTCTGGTGGGATAATTGGACTCCTGGAGGCACTTTAAGCACTAGATTCCCAAGCCATATTCTCACAGATGGAGGGTTCAGCATTGATATCAAAATGGAGAACTTTATCTCCAACTCAACTTGGTCATTCCCATAATGCATTGTATTAGCTATCCCAGAGCTCCTCTCTCTGCCATCACCAAATTCAGCAAGGAATGATAAAATGGTTTGGACAGCTTCATCTTCAGGAACTTACTCCCTCAAGTCCACTTCAGCCTTTTTAATGGGGCAACAGTTAAGAGTCCCTTGGCAAAATCTTGTTTGGGAAAGTCCAGTGATCCCTCGTATGAAGTTCAACCTATGGCTCACAGTACAATCTAAGCTTCCCACATTGGATAGCAAATCCATGGCCCAGCATGAGAACATCTGTGTCCTCTGTCGTGCTCAACCAGAAACACATGATCATTTGTTTTTTAACTGCTGTTTTGTCTCACCTCTATGGAGATTCATCAAGCAAAGAGCTCACTTCTACTCCTCAATTACAAACTGGGATGACCTAATCCATTTTACTAGCAATCAATGGAAGAAGAATACTGCATCTAATTTGATTCGCAAGATTTGTTTCTCCTCAATTGTCTACCATACATGGGAGGAACGCAATGAGAGAATTTTCAGAGGGAAGAAAGCTTCACAAAGATTGGTGCTCACCCGCATTTGCAACACCATCATTTACATCCTGAAATTGGGCTGCTTGCAGAAACTTCATGCTTCAAATAGGATCCTGTGTGAATGGGATCTTTTGCCCTCCTCAAGTCGCCCCCCTCCGAGACCTCCAGATTGATTCTCTCCGGCAATGGCGCCAGACATTTTCTATCCTCACACCGGAGTGGATTGAGGTCGTTTTTAACGACTAATTTTCTGTTAATTGCAGTTACCAGTGCTAAATTGGATTATAGTTTTTAGTTTGGGCTTGTTTTGCTGCCTTTTGGGCTTGTTTTTTTGGCCTAAGGCCCTCCTTGTATCCTTAATTTCAATAAATAAATTCAGTGGCTTTATCTTTCAAAAAATAAAAAATAAAAAAATAAATAATAATAATAATAATTAATTAGTAGACTGCTTGAGTAGTTCGAGTCTGTGACCCGAACGATGTGATAAACTTGGATTTATCTTGTTTTTCTATAATTTTGAGACATATACGAGTAAAATAATTAATTAAAATTATTGTTCAAAAAAAAAGAGATACGATCAAGTCTCATTACAATTAATTAACAAAAGTGATATTTATGAGAGGAATTTATATTTTTTTTAAATCCACACTCCATTCCCTAGGAATTAATGTATAAACCATCTATAGTCTTAAAACTACAATTGAATTGATCTTGCTGGTGGTCCCTCGTGTCTCATATAGAAGATAGGTTAGGTCATGTAAGCGTCTAGGTCAAATGTTCAATGCCCAACTGAGAATTTTCATGTTAGTCTTTAGCACCACTTTTCTAGGTCCAGGTGTCTTAAAATTTAGGGACGGTTTGATTCATTTATTTTAAGAACTTTAGTTGACCTTTACCTAGAATATATAAAATTAAGTTAACAAGGATGGCTTACTTTGGAATATTTTTTATAATTTTTTGAATTTTTTTTTCTTTTAAAAATGATTTTTGATACTGAACCAACCTAACTTAAATTAGTTCACACTTCAATCAATATGGAATAATCAAAGTTGGCCATGAATATTTTTCCTAGTGTTCAATCAATTATTTTAATAGCAACCACTCATCCAATAGAAGATAAAGATTGCTCTAAAGGTTCACTACATTAATCATCTTGAATGAATTCAATGGACCGAGACTGTAGATTCACACCATTCACCACATTAATTGTGGTTACCGAAAATTTCCACCTTCGTGTGTGTGTAAAAGAAAATGTTCATTATTTTTTTCAAAAAATAATAAAAAATTGATTTTCTAAATATTTTAAATTTCTTGGAATGCAATTAACTGGGGGTTTCATATCATCTGCTAATTTGTTGTAGCATGGTCCAGTCAATTTATAGGCAAATGAAGTTATTTTGGTGGTGGTTCAATCACATCCTTCGCAATAAAATGTTTTAAGATTATCATCAACTCATCATTTACAACTACCAACGTAATCATTAGAACAAACATTCTAAACATATTTCATACTACCACTAACATCTTTAAACACCTTTTCTTATTTTAAATTTTTTTTTTTTTTTTTTTTTCGAAATGCATGTGGTATTTCCAGCTCCACTTGATCCCAATTTTCATTTTTCTTTCTTTAGGGTTCGACTTTTTTGTTGGGATGATTGACTTTTTTTTTTTTCTTTTCTTTTTTTTCTTTTCTTTTCTAGAAACACTTAAGTGACTTAATCCCAGTTTCCATTTTTTTCTCCTAGGGGTTGACTTTTTTTTTTTTCCTATGGATGAGCGATTATTTTTCTTTTGGGGGAACAACTCTCTATTAAAATTGACTCCGGTTTTGTTTCGGCATCGAGTGTGTTTTTTTCCAACTCCACTTGATCCCAGTTTCCAATTTTTTTTTTTTTTTTTTTTTTTTTTTCTTCTTTTCTTTTCTAGAAACACTTAATCCCACTTTCCATTTTTTTCTCTTAGGGGTCGGCTTTTTTCATTTTTTTTTTTTTTTTTTTTTTTGTTGGGGAACAACTCTATTAGAATTTACTCCGGTTTTGTTTCAGCATTGAGTGTTTTTTTTACAACTCCACTTGATCCCAGTTTCCATTTTTATTTCTTTGGGCCTTTGAGGTTCGACTCTTTGGTTTTTTTTTTTTTTTAGAAACACTTAATTCCAATTTTCATTTTCCTCAATTATAATTGATTTTGGTTATCTTTCGGTATGATCTAGGTTTTAACATCAGGTCAGAAATATTAATTACATCATAATAATGTCAGGTCTAATTATATAAATCAGTTAGAGTTATTCAAAGAATTTAAATATTTTAACGGATACACACCTCTTCAAATCCGGTGGATTGTGATGACTTTGGAAGCGATGGGGGAAGGTGGAAGGCAAAGGCAGTGGTGGTTTTGAGGCTTGGAATGTGATGGTTTTTAAAAGTTTTACTTGGAAATGAAACAATCATTCCATATATTTAAATATGGAATGGATCTTCATTCATGGGAATGATTGTTCCTACTTTAACTTCTATATCAAACAAATGAATAATTGGAATGAACATTTCAATATAGTAAAGTATGACTAACAAAATTATGTTATATCGCCCCAGGGGCATAGCGACGTTGGTAGAGATTTAGGAGATAAGTCCGTGAGGTCTCGATTTCGAACCGCACTTCTAACTTAAATAGTGCGTGTGTAATGGTAGCGATATATGTGCTCTAAGAAAAAAAAAAATTACATTATATCATCACAATACATTTAAAATGATGATACATAAATATCTTTCCTCAAATAACCTCGGAGGCTAGGGATTAATATAGTTGGAAAATACTTAAGTCATGGTGTCTAATGAAGCATCAAGTTTTAGAATTGATTCTTCCTAATTGCAAATAATTACTTAAGGGTTATGCCCGCAAATATAATCCGAGCTTTACTTAATCCTTGTGAGGGGCGCGTTACACGGACCTTGTGGATTAGTTGGGCAAAATCACGGACACTTCGATTATTAAAAATATATATATATATAATTCCTTTCCTCAAATATTCTTACGCTCACACCAAAACGGGAATCCAAAACGGGATGAGTCAGGTGAGGCAGGTATGGAGGCAGAATTTTTTCTTCTCTTATTTTTCTATATATATATTTACCTATAATATGTATATATTTTTATAAATGTCTAAAAAAATATATTTTTATAAATGTCTAAAAAAACTCCCTCCTGAAATTTCTCATTTCCTTGTATACAACTTAAATGTTTTATTAAAAAAAATAATTCTTAATTTTATTATTATTATATTATATATATGTAATTTATTAATTTATCTCATTCCAAAAATATCGATTTCTCTATATATATCCATCTCTCTCTCTATACATTCAGTGCATAATGATACCCCTAAAAAATTTTATGCTCCGTCCCTTAGGTGAGAGGCAATATATGATATGTATATATGTGGAATTTTTTATGTGCTGCCTCCCTAAAATTATTAGTTTTTAAAATTATCTCTTATTATTATTTTTTTTTTTTCTAATTTACTCTTCAAATTCCTTAAAAATAGTTAAATTTTTCATGTTAAATTAAATTTTATTTTATTTTTAAATTGTCATTTTTCTTATTTATTTATTTTTCTTATTTTTTTTCCTTCTACTCCTTTAAATATATATATTTTTTCTTAACACTATGTCTCTAAACTAAAATCATGACTCCGCTTCTGAACACATGCAGTACTTGGCGGGCGAGTGTTGAATCGGTCAGAGGTCGATCTATTTTGGTAAGAAACACTAGTAAATTTCTTTGCAATTGATCAACCAACCAGAGATATGGTGTTTGAGTTGTCTATTATTGGCTTTTAATTTTCTTGGACACCAAACAAACAATACAACGATGACCCAACAAGAAAAAGTCGATTATGTTTTGTCAGCTCAATGGACGACCATGTGTCTTCTATTTTGAATTTTTGTTCCACATTAGCGCTAGTAATTGGAGAGAGGCTTCACCCCCAGCTTATTCATTTAAGCAGGTCAAGACCACGTTGTCCATTACGAGTGCAGAGAATTCATACTACGCTTCTCTCCCACCAACATTTCTTTTTCTTCTTTCTAATTTTAGGCAATCCTCATGGAAATAATTTCTAATTTTAGGTAATGAAGGGCAATCCCCATGGAAATGTTAAATTATTTTTTTTTTGAGTTAAATTAGTTGGTCTATCGGCATTTCTATACCACCAAAAGATTAATTACACATAATTAATTTGATTAGATAAACATGAAATTATTAGTGTACTATATATGTGTGTGTATATATATATTATTAAGATTAGATTATGATGTGCAGTATCGATCACAGTCGCAGTATCGATCACGATCGCGGTGTAACACACTCAGAAAAAATTAGTATAAATTATATTTTTATCATCACTCATTTATTAAATAGAAAATAAGATTAGTCCGAACCTAAATTATACTTTTTTACTTAGTACTATGTATTTTATGTAATTTTTTATAGAAACTTGATGTTAATCAAAATAGTACAAAATGCAATTAAAATTTGCTACATAACTTGTGAGCACGTATGGATGGTAAGACATACAGAAGTTTGAGGATAAAAGTTTATTGATCATCACTCATTGATTAATAGAAAATAAGCCTTTTTCTCTATAACTCTAAAATTTTGAAAAAAAATGAGAAGGTTATTGGGAAAAAATCTTGAAACTCAATCACAAAATTAGTATAGTTATTTAGAAAAAACACAGTAAAGGTTGTAAAATAATCTTTGAATTAAAAATTAGAGCAATCAAAATTTAGTTAATTAAAAGTGACAATAGGTTTATGATAAATAAATGTTATAAACGTATTTGAAGGATTAAACTGTCCCTCATAACGCCTAGATAGTCAAAATATTCAAACCCTTTTACTCTTTTGGATCATACGTACGTCTTGTCAATTCAAATACAAGTTATTTTCCTAGAGTCCAATCTGATTTCTTGAATTGTAGAATTCTCTCCTTGAAAATCAAACTGAATCGGTCATTAATCAAAACCTCTAATAAAACTACTATAAATTCCCAATCCCCCATCACATCACAAAACACACACATATTGATAATTTAGCATTGCATAGCATATCATATATATCTACGTTAACTATATATACACACACACACAAACATTAGAATTAAAGGCAAAACAGTAATTTTACAAGTGAAAAGCAAAAATAATATTGAGCTTCTTCATTAAGCCATGCAAAGTTCATCAGCAGTCAAGAACGTGTGCCGGCAAATTCTCCGTCACCGGAACCAAATCCGAACAACTAAACAATTACCACCATGTGATATCTTCATCAACCATCGTGGTATCGATACTAAGAAAAATGTTGCAGGGTTGCTCTATGATGAACTTTCCCGGCAAAATCTTCGTCCATTTTTGGACAGCAAGAACATGAAGCCGGGTGACAAGTTGTTCGAAAAAATAGACGCGGCCATTCGTGGCTGCAAGGTTGGGATCGCAGTGTTTTCGCCACGGTATTGTGATTCATACTTCTGTCTTCATGAGTTGTCCCTCATCATGAAGTCCAAGAAAAAGGTGATACCAATTTTTTGCAATGTAAAGCCGTCCGAGCTTCGGGTGAAGTGCCATGAATTGTGTTCAGATGATGATCTTCGAAAGTTTAACCGGTCTCTTGAGGAGGCCAAGTACACGGTTGGACTAACATTCGACTCGTCAAAAGGGTATGTTTGTATTTATTTTCTTCAAACATTTTAATTTCTTACTTCGATTATTATATATATTTAAAAATGTTTTATTAATATTAATTCCATATATGTTTGGTACATATGCAGTGATTTTTCGGATCTTATGAGGAGTGCTTCAGATGCGGTGATGAAGAACTTGATTGAGGTAGAAGGAGAGAGACTAGGCGGAGCCAAAAGCACCGTAATTTGTTGAAGATGTCTGCTGCAGGATATATCAATGAAAATGAACAAAAGCTAGCTGATACACCAACTCGTATGACTTAAATAAACAATTTACGCGTCCCATTAATTAATCGTTTATTCATTTGTTAATGTTTTTTTTGGGTAAATAACGTACCGACAAGGAAATTTATTAGTTTTTTTTTTTTTTTTTTTTTTTGGGTAAATAAAGAAATTAATTAGTTGTGTAGATTATTGTAGAGAAGAAAATAAAAAAGGCTATTTGCTAACAGATTTATAGTTCTTTATAACCCAATCAAAGAGTTTGGGCTTCAATAAGATTGTAAGATCTATGGAGTACTGTATTTGTAATCTACGTGTGCAGATTTTTCAGTAATCTCTCTTTCTCACACACACACATCCCTTCGTCTGACATTGAATGGAAGTGAAGAAGTACGTATATAGGAATTAATGTATACAAAGTAGTATTGATGCATAGTTCAAACATAAAGTTCCAAGCAAACGGGCCAAAATAAACAGCATCATGATTTTTTTCCCAGTTTTTTTTTTTTTTTAACTTATGATAGAAACTTTAGTATATGTCCATTATGATCCATAACGACAGATCTAGAATTGAGCCTTTCAAGTTTCAACTTGTCATTGTGGGCTATGGATTCTAATGCTTGATTAGATATTCTCGTGTTTTTAGAGACGAATAAAGCCAATGAATGAACGACCAAGTAATTGCAAGTATTTTTAGCTGTGATGCCAATAAATGGATCGATGGTAATTCTTTGAACATTGATGATGATCTAGACTCTTAAAGCCTCTACACTCTAGTTGGAGGAATTATTACACGGTATGGGAACATGTAGTCCCGGTCAACGACAGACTCATAATAGGTTCGTCCCTAATCCCAACTAATAATAAATTGCCACACAATAAAAAAATTGAATAAAGCAAATATATTTAGTTGCACGAGAGTTTGTTATTGGTCAAGACTACATGGTCGTATCTATCATTTGCAGGTTCTAAAGCTATGTATTGGTCTAATATCTTCATTCTTCAATCAAGATAATTTGCCAAATGGACAAAATTCTCAGAAAACCCCAATCTCTTGGTGTAAGGTTTGCAAGCCTGAAGATGAAAGACTCAGATTGTGGAACAAAGCAGCTATTATATATATATATATATATATGAGAACCTCTCCAAATGAAGGAGGGATCGGATTGTGGAACAAATTGACTAGTTTCCTTTTTTTGCTTCACGAGGGTTTCATCGATCAGAATACTACCAAAAAATTAGACACCGCCACATAAAAGTTCAGATGAATAAAATGTACTTAATTTTCTGTCTTGAAAATAATATTTATAAAAAAGACTTAGATTTGACTAACAAATACGCGGAGTTGGATCCATTAACTGTCCAAGCTAGCAAAAGCTCTTTTGAGAGACCACCACCTATCACAAATTAGAAGTTCATAACACTTAACGAGGCTTGACACACTCTCTATCTCTATATATATATTATATACACTTGCATATTCTTTATGGTGACACTTAATTCTTCATCTTCAAATAAAAGTATATATACTTTATTTGGCATCCTAGATTCATTGATAAAGTCTTGCCAGACCGCCATTAATTGATCAGAAGAAGACCACATGTTCGCGATAGTTTGAAGACATTTCCTCGAAAACTTTATTGGTAAAACATTTGACTGTTTGATTAAGTTTTCAACCGAACCAAAATATGGGCAAAGTGCATGTCAAAGATTTTATACATTTTGAAATCTACTATATAATAATAATAATTATAATAATAATAATGACTACCATGGCAAATTTTTAGTGCTCAGAACATATTTGCTTTTGGGTGACGAGAGTTTTGACTACATCTTTCCATGGGAGAGAAAATTAGAAAGGGATTAAATGCAATGTTGCTTCAGAAAACTTTGCCATGGAAAGATGTAGTCAAAACTCTCGTCACCCAAAAGCAAGGGATTAAATGTAATCTCTCTCTTCTTATGGACATATGATTCATTTAGTCAGAAAACTTTATTTGATCGATGGTGGAAAACTCATCTCTGAAAATTTCATTTCAGAATCCGAATACAACTTTGGAAAAATTAAAGAGAAACTGGTTTAAATTGTTTTTAGAGCATTTTGGAAGTATAAAACTTTTCAGAAAATTCTTATATATGAATGAAACATTGGAGAAGTTTATAAGACGACATTAAAAAAAAAAAAAAATCCTCCTACTTGTTTTTAAGCCGAAGATTGGGGATGGATGCAAGGAATATTGGGCCGCATTGATACAAGGAATATTGGGCCGTATTGGAGATGGATAGAAGGAATATTGGGCCGTATCTTCTCTGATAAAGATTACTAAGCGGGCCTGTTGAGTCCCATATTAACGAGATAAAGCAAAGCCCAAATCATGCCATTTTATTTGTGGTCTTTTCACTTGTTTTCATATCAATTTCAATGGTTAGAGAAAGTACTACGTATAATTTAATTTGTGGAGATTTTTCTTGTAATGTTAAGATAATTAGGTGAATTATCAAGAGAGTCAATAATACCGGAGCCAATAATTTGTGGACTCTATAAGAAAAATGACATGTTTCTAGATTTAGATCAAAGCACCCATTTGCGTAAGCTATATTTAATCCATATGCTTCACCATGTTTGGCGACTGCATTGTCTTTGATAACAACTCTTAACCTCTATTTATTAAGCAACCCTATCTTTTATTCATTTCTACCTTTATTCTTAGAAAGTGATATATACCCGTTATTTTTTTGACTTAGGGTAGAAATCATAGAACAAGCTATAGAAAGAAAGAAAAAAAAAATTGTTGTAATTTGCTGGACTTCGGAACCAAATTTAGAGACTTGACTCTCACACATACGGCCTAATATTTTTTTAAATGGACTAATAGTGATAATAATTTTTTTTTAGTGGGCTAAAATTAATTGTGGACCATGTAATAATTTATCTTTGTACGTGGTGACAAGTTTAGCCAATTAGTGTAACATATCTTAGCAAAACCACAAATTAAAGGAAAGTAGAAGAAAATTCTTAAACATTTTGATTATAGACTTAAATTAAATCAATAATGATATGTTTTCATTCATGTCGTCCTCTTTAGTGATTGGGATGAGAATGGGGTTATAATTTCTTGCTTCAAATTTTTATTGTAAAAAAGGTAGCAAATTAGAAATTTTCAAGTAAAAAATAATAATAATACTAGTTAATTAACAACAACCAATTTAGTAACATATATAGATTATTTATGTGTTAATTATCTTATATAAATATCAACAAACAAAGTAGTACCCTCATATTTAGGGGCATAACGGCGTTGGTAGGGATCCGAAAGGTAAGTCTTTGAGGTCTTATTTTCGAATCATACTCTTGACTTGAATGGTGTATATGTTATAGGGTCATTGAAGAAAAAAAAAAAAAAAAAAAAAAAAAAAAAAAAGAACTTACTTAACAAACAAAGCAACACCCCATCCCTTAATTAAATGCATAAATAATTAAGTTTTTAAATGGAAAAATAAATGTCCAAGGACATAGCGATGTTGGTAGAAATCTCACTTGCTTTCGAATTACACTATGAGATCGATATACTTTTTTAAGAAGAAAAAAAATATATATAAATAAAATAATAGACAAATAGGTAGATACTTAATTGGGAAATAAATGTGAAGAAAATATATTTTTCTTTATCATCGTAGCCAACCACATCATTGACCCCAAGGGCCTTTAATTCCACAAATTGCTTGCGTGTTGATGTGCCTAACCCTTTCAAATTAGGACAAAATAATTTCTAATTTTCTAGGTCCCATCCATGTTTTATCAATTGCCACGTGGAATAGTGCCAAGCATGGCGGCTTATGTTGGACACCACATCATCAGCATTTAGAATTTGAGATTTGAGAATCTTGTATGCAGTTTTAAGATAAGCCTAACGGCATCATTGTGTTTGAATTGGTTTGTTGTGGTGGCTCATATATACCGTACGGTATAGTTAGATACTATTTCAGAAATTTTATCAGAATCTGTCAACTTGCTCATAAGGTATATTGGAAAATTACATATTTTTAAAGCTTATATATATATATATATATATATATATATAAAAGAAAAAAATCTTATTAAATGAGGATGAGGAAGAGAGTACAGAGATTACTAAAGCTGTTTTTTTTAAAAAAAAAAAAAAAAAAAACCTTTTATTAATTTTTCTTTGTTGGATTTTAGGTCTTCTTTTCTTGTGACCTAAATTGATGATGATTATGGCGCGTATGTAGCTAGCCGCCGTGACGTGTGAAGTGTATAAGCACATTGCCAATTGGTAGCTAGCTAGAGGACAAAAGAAAAAAAAAATATTTATATTTTCAGAGAAGATCAGAATTGACAATATCATTGTGCCCAGAAGCCTAACTAAAACGACATTTAAATTTCAAAATTACATTCGGTACCAACATCAAGCATGCATGCATGGCAAAGTTCGGAAGCAGTTCCACATTCATCCAATTGAAAGAGGATAACTGGACAACAAGAACATCGAACACGTCTTTTTATCATTCTGATTTACTCGCGTAATAAATTTGAATTGATTTTAATTGTTTCTAAGCATTTTCGCCTTTCATCATCAACTAACGATTTTTGTTTTTAATTTGTTCTTCAGAAAAAAAGCCATGAATCTTAGACCCTACATGTAAATTCAATCCCTTCTGGTTTTGATTAGTTCAAAGTAATGGCTGAAAGCACACTAATCTACTAAAGTATTTGAAACCCCACTATTAAAGTTTTAGGGAGATCGGTAAATATTCTGTTTTTTTTTTTTTTTTCTTTTGACATGCACTTTTATTATTATTATTTTTTAAATATAATAACATAAATATCCATAATATTTCATTCTTATGAATTAAATCAAGAACAATAATATAATTTAACATTAAAAAAGAATACAATTTTATTTTATATTTAATTTCAGTTTATATTTTGTCCTTAAAACGTACTATATTTTCTTTTCATTTACTATTTACCTTTGCTAGGTGAGAACTTCTCTCTTGTTTTACTACTAATTTATTAGTTATTATTAGATATTAATCATTTTAATTTAGTGACTCAGATATGAGTTTAAAATTTTTCAAATTAAGATTTGAAAATTATTGTCATATCCCGTGCAATTAAATTTTCACATTAATTACTAAATACATACATGATCACCCTACTATGTTATTTCAATTTCACACTCCTGTACATAGAATCATTATCTTAGCTAAAGAAGGCCTAGAATGTATTACAATTATTCTAAACACTAGAAATCTCAATATTTCTTGAATTTTCTAACTCTATGTCACTCCACAATTATTTTAAAACCATCTCAACACTCTATAATTATTCTAGCACTAACTTTGGTATTCACCTCAGCGCTCTGACATGAGATAGGGCTCACTCTATAGTGTTTTCTAGTTTACTAAATGATACTTTAACCCTCAATGTTTCAAGTAGTGGTTATAAAATGATAATTTTGCCTTCTTTTTTTTCTTTTTCTTTTTTTTTTTTTTTTGTCGCTATGCAGCGGCATTGAATGACCGAGGTCAGAAGCTTTTTTGAAATGAAATAATGATTTTTGAGAATATTGTTTACTGTAGCTGTTGGGTAAAAATACCAAAACAGTC